TTCTCCAAGGAGAGATGGAACCTCTTGGAGGAAATGGAACCAAGGAAAGGATCACTGATCTATTTGGAATGTGGTTTATGCTGCCTTCATGTGCTGTCAGAGTTATCAGAAATACATGAACATGAATAGACATGAATGGCCTCTCAACACATATTTATATGACTAGGAAACTCAAAGTTGGGCAGAGTTTCAAAGTTTCAAAGTTGAGCAGGCCAGTATCACAGTAGTGAGGAGTGACTGTTAATTAGAATTTTCCACAACATCTACATTGCTTTTTTTTACCATTACAATTATGTACATTTACATATTTAAATAACCATTTGATGCATATTGTATGTATTTTACATAGTGAGAACAACATTTATTTGCTTGAAATTCCAGAAGCGTTAGCAAGCTGACTATATAGATAGCGTGGTATAATGCATATAATAGCACATGTAATGTTTATATGGATGTCATCGAATGGGACACTATATGTATAAAACATATATAAAGTGAACCTGGTGTCCTCCATGATCCCTGTTCTTTCGGGATCAACATGACCAACTTGTAATTACGACTTCAGAAGTGGAAATTTGAACATTTCTGAAGGCAGCACTTCTTCTGAAGCGCTTGTTTCTCCAGATTCACACCCTTGTTTATGTTGTTTCTGTGTGTGATCTGAGCACCATCAGCGTTATAGACCTGCTGTTGTCTTAATCTCTGTTTCTTGTATCAGCTGTGAGAGGAATGTGTGTTTTTGGGTGAGGTTCTATAGCTCGAGCTCCTGTTCACTAAGATATGTGCATACTTAGTACATATGGTGTTTGAATGACCGATAAGTCAGTACCAATAAGGATAATGTAAAGGAAATTAAATAAAACGGAAAAATCACAAATTCAAAAAAGATGGCGCATGCAAGATAAATGTAATGGCAGTTGCGTCAGCATGAAACAGAAGTCGCGATCAAACAAAAAATTATTGGGCAAGACTTTTTTGAATTTCATCCAAAGGTTGTTGACTGAATCATGGAAAGTGTGAGTTGCATACCGAAATAGAGATCTAAATGCGATTGTCTTAAAGGGATAGTTCACCCCAAAATGAAAATTCTGTCATCATT